AGTCTCTTACAAACCAGTAGCAAACGATAGTCTCTACAAACCAGTAGCAAACCATAGTCTCTACAAACCAGTAGCAAACCATAGTCTCTTACAGACCAGTAGCAAACCATAGTCTCTTACAGACCATAGTCTCTTACAAACCAGTAGCAAACGATAGTCTCTTACAAACCAGTAGCAAACCATAGTCTCTTACAGACCAGTAGCAAACCATAGTCTCTTACAGACCAGTAGCAAATCATAGTCTCTTACAAACCAGTAGCAAACCATAGTCTCTTACAAACCAGTAGCAAACCATAGTCTCTTACAAACCAGTAGCAAACCATAGTCTCTTACAGACCAGTAGCAAATCATAGTCTCTTACAAACCAGTAGCAAACCATAGTCTCTTACAAACCATAGTCTCTTACAGTGTAAACATGTACTAAGAAAAGAAAATCTCTGCTCAAATTAAGGTGGGATATGAGTCAACAAGCCATGCATGGCACAGTCCCCGTTAGTTATCAAATTTAAGATATGTAGTTTTATTTATAGTAATATAGCTGGAATATAACCATGTCAGGAATATGATTTTTTTTAACATTAAAATGATTGACATTTGTATCTGATCGTCAAACAAGTACTTAAGTATATTGAGAGATATTGCTCTGGAACAGCATTCAAAATCAGCCATTTTGAATACATGTATATATATAACATGATGTATAACGAATATATATAATTTCAATATATAATCAGTCAAAGCATTTAAGAGATATGGCTCTAGAAGCCCAATCATTAAAACAAAATGGCCGCAGTCAGCCATTTTGAATCCAATCTAAAAAATAAAATGACATGCATCAGGAACCTGTAATGTCTAATATATGTACCAAGTTTGAACGAAATCCATCCATAAATACCAGAAAAGCTTGATATTTGATGATTTTTTAGCACAAAAATAACCATAATTTTGCCATTTTGAATAGGATTGTCAAACCAATATATCTGTCTATCTATGACATGATGTATGATGAATATTTAAAATTTGAACATAATCAGTCAAAACAAGTCAGAGATATGGCACGAGAACCACATTCATTAAAACAAAATGGCCGCCAGACAGCCATTTTGAATCCGATCTGAAAAATAAATGATGTGCATCAGGAACCTGTAATGTCTAATATATGTACCAAGTTTGAACAAAATCCATCCATAAATGCTTGATATTTGATGATTATTTAGCACAAAAATGGCCACCATTTGGCCATTTTGAATAGAATCGTCAAACCAATATTATCTGTCTATTATATCTATGACATGATGTATAATGAATATTTAAAATTTGAACATAATCAGTAAAAGCAAGTCAGAGATATGGCACGAGAACCACATTCATTAAAACAAAATGGTCGCCAGTCGGCCATTTTGAATCTTATCTGAAAAACAAAATTATTTGCATCAAGGTCCCATAATGTCTAATGTATATACCAAGTTTGAACAAAATCCATCTGTAAACAGCTGAAAAATGTTTGATTTTGATGATTTTTAGCACAAAAATGGCCGCCATTCGGCCATCTTGAATCAGATCGTGAAACAAATTGACGTGCATATGTATAATATCATGTATGATGTATGTGTGAAGTTTGATTGTTATTGGTCCAGGCATTTCTAAGATACAGGTTCGGACGCACGCACAGATGCACGCACGCACGGACACGGACACACAGAGGTCAAAACATAAGTCCCTGTTTTCAGACTGCGTCCGAACGGGGGCTAATAAAGATCATATAGAAATAGCTCTAATGTGAGCTGGTCTCATTTACATACATACATGTATCACAGTCACAGTAATACATGTAGTGTGGAGAACATTAATTAATTCAGTCATTGATTAAGTGAAAATAAGCTACTGTCATTATCTTTTGGGTGTCTCCAGAAAAACTCCAAAAAGGTTATTTATGGGAAATTTAGAAAGGTATCCAGTGCAATTTTAATACTACCGGTACACCCATGGGATAAATACCAAAAACACTCTTCTAAGAAAGCAGCCCATATAAAAAAACAAATACACATAAATAGCAATCAGAATCCCAAATAATTAGACTAAAATTATTAATAGCAATAGAACAATCTCAAATTCACAATTAAAAGTATTAGGTAGGGATATTGAAAAATCATCTGTAAAACATTGAGAATATGAAAAAAAAAATACTTATAAAAATGATATATTAAATACCGAAAATCTAAAAACTTTTGTGAACAATTAGGGAAATTCCAGTCAAAAAACACTTATACATTCCTCGGAACACCAGTTCATGAGTTGAATGCAAAATTTGTAATCATTGCAATAACAATGAAATTGAAAACTAGTGACATTTCATTTTATCAAGCACTTCCAAGAAGAAGTCTTCTGTTTGATAAAGCATCCAGACATAATACGATTTTATAAGCTCTCCACACAAAGATGTACATGTACCTACCGACTTACAATTGACACATACCTGGTACCTCCAATCTATGTACCTACAATGTCTTTTCTATGTAATGTCAGTTTTAGTATTTTATACTTTTTTCTATTTTGTCCTATTAATGTTTTACCATTATTTAGTTATTTTTATCATTTTAGTCTTTTGTTATTTGTTATTTATACCATACTAACCCCCCCTGATGGTTGTGGTTGTATAATAAAGTTATTATTATTATTATTAATATACATGTACCATTTGAATAAAAGTTTTTGAAGTAGACATTCAAAATGTCCATATATTTTTTTTTTTCGATCATTTTTTTTAATGTTAATTTGTTATTATAGGCCACCATGACCTCATTTTATTTCTTTTTTAACTTCTATTTCACTTTTTTTTAAAACATTTCTGATGTAAATCTCTAAAGACTGTGTTGTGTTAATAAATATTATATTACGGAATTAAAATGGCATTGTTATTTCAAGACAGCCGTCCATCATTATACTGCAACAACGATCACCAAGCCCAGTGATCAAATGGTACACTCATAACACCTCCCAGCTACAGTGTTTATCGAGACGCACTGCTCACAATTTTACTATTCACAGCCCTGCGCATTTCTAATTGGTAAAAACGGGGACCTGTGTATGCGTCCCGATAAACACAATACTATAAGTAGTGCTAAACACTTCCATAATAGCATAATAGATACATGTTACCCACGTCACGTACAAAATTAAAGTCCAATCACTCGGTCTCTGATCAGGCCTATATAATAACCGGACTAATTCCAATAAGACAAGGATCAAATTTAAAAATTCAAGTGTTCCAGAAACTCGTGCCGCACACGTACGCCGCCATTGTAGACAACCTAGACTGTACATTTTATGCGAGTGTGTGTTCATCTTTAAAGGGTTAAATGGCCCTGGTGTCCTCGTTCCTATTTGCAATATTTTATAGCATAATATTAATAATGTTTTTTCATTTCTTTTAATGAAATACGGCTAGGTAACAGTAAAATTTACTTTATTCAAAAAATTTAATTTAAATTTGGAGGTATTAATATGTTACGATTATTTTGTATCAACTAGTTATCTTTTCTGGACGGAGGTTCGTAGTATACCCAACATGCACTACGATCGTTCTTTTCGGTAGACGGCCATTAGAGAAGGTGTGTATTTAGAGATGGTTGTTTTGAAAATCCATTGAATCTGCACTCATCTTTTAAAAATACGACTATTTTAATGATTGGCAGCTATATATATATAATTATAGATTTATAATCTAGAAAGATTTATTTGAATAACCTGGAAATAAACAGTATTTTTGCCTCGAAAGTTTGCCCTACTGATGACTACTGACCTGACCGTCAATGTGTTTATCCACATGTTTTGACAATATTGTTTGTTAATTCACACAGAAAGATGGCCAAGCTACGTAATAGCGTAATACCTAATGGCCATTTCCACAAGGATTGGGAGAGATGGGTGAAAACATGGTTCAACCAGCCAATGAGAAAAGTTCGTCGTCGTAAGAATCGTATCAAAAAAGCAAGAAAAATAGCCCCACGTCCTGTGGGTGGTCCAGTTAGGCCAATGGTCAGGTGTCCTACAGCCAAATACAACACCAAAACCAGGAGTGGACGTGGTTTCTCATTGGAGGAATTGAAGGCAAGTTCAATGTTATCACAGTTAAGTTTGCACCTTTAATACAGACCCTGGTAGCAGGGTTGTGTTAGGGATTTGTCACCCAAGTGCACTGCAAAAATGGAAATAATTAGATAAATAAGTCTGATAAATAATCCAGTTGATCACTGTTTTGGTATTCTTAAACCAACCATGTTTGTGTACAGCTATCCTGAATACAGAAGTTGCGTACACATTATTTTCTATTGTCAACTGGGGTTGTATAACCCTTGCCTAAAAAAGTCTGGGCTTGTTCTGTACTTTGTATTGGCCAAATCTTACAATATAAAAATAATAAATGGATATACACATGCATTCCATCCCAAAAATCCATCAATTATTTTTTAATTCCACAAAAATTATATTGGTTGATAAAATTTACCTCAAAGGCACAATACAATGGTTTACATAGGTTGCACAGGTTTTGTTTTGGAAAAGTTGATTAGAAATCAATGGGCAGCAATTTTCTTTTCTTAAGTTTATAAAGTTCATATGCATGTGTATCTTCTAAAACCAAAATTGGCAAAATTTAAGCTTGTCATCAACCATTTCTGGGTCGATTCCATTCAATTTAAAGTTGCAGACTGCCAGTCATTTGTTCAGTTATACCACTCTAAAAGATCACAAGATGTGTAACACAACTGCCTTGAAATTAACACATGATATATTTTTAACAGTTCAAAACAACGTAAATTTCAGAATAGACAATGTTACATTGAAGTAGCATTAAATTTATTTACTCATGCTGGGTCCTCTCCAGCAGGGCATTATAGAGTAGAGATAACTCCAACTCTATAATTTTGAATGAATAATATATTCCATATAACAATAAGAGAGCATTGGCATATCTTATTGTTAGTCTAATTAGCCAATACTTTATGCTACATTTCTGAGAACACTTCATTGTTTAGTCATTATGAGGCGGTCAGAGCCAATGTTTTTCAAACCATGGTGATGTCAGCTTCAACACTCGGTGCTTGTCAATTACTGGGCTACAAAAGGTGTTGGTAGCTTGTTTCAAGGTATCAACTCGTAATTTGTTTTCCTGTCTGTCCTTGATAAGTTGAGACCCTCAATAAAACATTTTTTTTGCTTGAATCCTAACAACCATGACTTAGCGAGGGGTCGCTGTATCTCATCCCAATTGTCAAGTTCCTCTTCCTCATTGATCATAATTTCCTGGTTGACAGGGTCTTTCTTTCATCCCTGGGAATATTGTTTGTGCTACCAACAAGATCCATGTTCATTTCTCCCATTCTACCATGTATTTTACAATTGCATGAAATTGAAAAAAAAAATCAGGTGGTTTAAAACTGATGAGTAAGATGGCGAAATACAAATTTTTTTAGCTCCGCTGTCGACTTTGTCGAACAGA